ACCAGTACTATGCGAACACTGGGGTCCTGCTGGTCTGTAAAGTGCTTTGAGCCATCTTGCAGAAGAATGCCACATGAGCCCTAAGCATCAGTGTTATAACTGGCTGTGGGAAGGTGATTGAAGTGAGTTTAAGCTCTGGTCTGGCCAAAGCACTTAAATGCACTTAACTTCAAATATCTGACTAATCCTGTTGATGTTAATAGGACTACTCGCATGCTTAAGTGCTTTGCTGAATTGGAAGTTAATGAGTTCAAATGCTAGATAAACTTGGTTATGGAGGAAGCTTCAAGAACTGCAGTGTGGATTCCTCTAATTACATGTGTCTTTTCACTGGTGCAGGGAAGCCCTTTTATCTCTTCCTGTATTCTTACAATCAGTCTGCAAACTTTGTCTAAGAAGCAACCTTCAAAGAACAGTTTTATTTCAGATATGGAATGAAGAAAAGTTATTTATTTGTGTCCCCTTTATTGCATCTGCCATGAAAAACACAGTCTTTCTGCAAGCTAAGGGTGGAAGGTCTCTGGGAAATACTGTGAAAACTTTAAGAAGAGGTCAAAGCAGTAACATAATTTGTTGGAGATCTGCCAAGCTACCTTGGATTTAGCTCCATCCACAGTATAGACTTTAAAGGACTACAGATAGGCTGACCTAAGCTGGCAGGGAGATTGCTCTCTTTGGTGGACCATCACAACACACAAAGTGGGGCACAGGCATAAGCTGGTGCTGGATCAGGGCCTAGATAATGAAATACAAAGACTGACTAGTGTCCGAAATGGTTCAAAGGATATTTCTCCAGCAATTGCAAAGGCTCAGACAATCCGAAAAGCCGATGAGACTGTTCTTGCTTTTTAATATTCATTTGCAGGTGTGCAGGTTGCTTCATGAGATGAATAATAACAACAATAATTCCCTGCCCTTGTAAGGTCAGGGTTGGGGATACCAGCCTAAACAGCCAGAGCCTTCTCACCATGAGGAGTATGAGTTAGGGAGCATGCAGGAGGAGGTGACAGCTCAAGGAGGCAAGCGCAGAGAATGGGTGGAATGTTGTTTCTGCAGTGGAGGTAGAGAGGGGGGTAATTGTTTTTCTTTTAGGAGTATGAAAGAGAGTATTTGCCCATTTAAGCACTGGTTCAATTGTCTGCATTTATTGTCTGTACTCAAGAGGCCAGAGCACAGGCAAGAATTGCTGCCAGCTCTGAAAGTTACCCTCTTACAGCAGTTCATTTCCACCTTAACAGCATTGCAGAAAAGGGAGTGAGAAGATGGGCATTTCTTTCACTTCAGCTTGCTTGGAATTGCAATCTGCACAGGACCCCAATTTTACATTCCCTTTTGCTGTTTCAATCAAGAATAACTCTACTGAAGTCAGCAAAGCTGCAAAACGAACAAGAAGAGGGAATAGGGATCATTCTGTTGGCTGTGGTTTGTAATAAATGCCAGTAGCTCTCCCAGGAAGCCTGTCATGGTGTGAGATGAATGTACCTTGTTTGCATTGAAACAGTGGGATCCTGGGCTCTGATCGAATTGCTCTGGGGCAGCTGGTGATAAAAGAACGCTGATCATTGCACTGACTGTGGAGTCAGTGGGGTTTTTATTACTGTACATCCAACAGCAATTTGGTTAGAATTTCTGGAAGACTACTGCCAGGAATTTTTTCTCAGTGACAAAATGGAAAGAAAAGGTGAAAAAGGAGTGATGACAGGGAACGGAGAGGGGCGGAAGCAAATCTGCATTGCCAAATCAGAAAACTGGAAAATGAAAACAGATCAACCAACCAAAATAGCAAACAGCCAATAATGATATATATACATATACATGTATAAGATTATTCCTTTTCTAAATTTGCACTTAGATTAATACTTTGTGTGTTGAAAAGTTCATTTGATCAGCTCTCATTTAAACTTGTTTAGAGACACATCTGACGCATGGGAGGCTGTCAATGTAGCAAATGCTCTGCTAAAAACCCTGTGTGTGGGGGGGGTGTGTATCCCTGTATTACCATCTGACAGTGCTCACTCCTTTCTCTGGGTTCTGCCAGGGTAGCCCTGCCTCGGGTGGTCTCACTAGTGCAGGAGGCTCAAGGAGTGTGATGAACACAACTCAATCTCCAGAAGCCTTTGCGTGGGCATCCTGACGGCAGCTTGTTGGATGGAGAGGGGGTGAATGGCTGCAAAAGTGGGATTTATATTCAGGCTTATTTATTTAGACTGTAGAGGACTGAACAAGAGGAACTCTTTTCTTCTGCATGTGCACACTGTGCTCTCAGCAAAATAGCATTTTTTATTGTTGCTGCCACAATATTGAATGCTACCCACACGCTACAGTTTTCTGTTCGTCCATTGTCATTTTATTTCTGCGCTCTCCTTCAAAAAGGAGACCTTACTGATTGCCCTGGCTTTCTTCTGCAGAGTAATTCCTCCAGGTGTCTGACAAAGATACTTCTGGAGAGCAGATATTTAGCCTTTGCAATGCCAAAAGGCACTTAGCGAAGGTACTTCTTACCTGCTTTGCTAAAGCCTTTTGATACCTCTGCAAATTTCTTTGCAATACACTGACCAGCAGCATGACTATGGCTCTGTGCACTCACACATCTCACTGCTGGCACTGCCAGCAAATTGTTTTTCAAGTGGCTTCTGATCTGGCTGGGCACTGAGCTTACTTATTTATTCACAGACGTGACAGACATTGCTACTGGACTTGAATCTGATGCCTTCTGGTTTATTTTCAGTCTCATGCTGTATCCCTGTAGACAGCATAATTCAAACTTTCCTGCTTATAGGCTATTGGTTGAATGTAACAGCAGTTAAAAAATACCTGTAAGAAAACTGGTGTTAATGACAAAGAATGGAAGAAAATTAAATTGTATCTAGAAACAAGTAAGGCTTTTATTTTTTTATTTTTATTTTTTATTATATTCTGGCTTCATGGTCCTTCACTAAGAGCTGCATTAGACTCTGTGGAAAAGTCCTCATGTGCATTTAAAAATTTTGTCTGCAGCTAACATTTATATCAAGCAGGAAGCATGAATTTGGGAATTGGGTACTGTGACTGGTAGGTTTGAAAGCAGAATGAGTGCAGTTTCTGAGCACTGGTTGGCAGGTGTTCATGGCTGACACTCTGTAATTTACTGTACAGGGTTTACAAAAGGCCAGCGAGAAGACTGGGGGCCAGCTGCATGGAGGCCTGAGCGCACTTGCCTCCTTTTGAGTGGGAAAATGAGGTTATTGCTTGTTCATAACTCAGAGCTGGGCCAGTTTGTCGGGGCTGGAGAGGGAGCTTTGCTTTATTTGTCATGTCAGAGCACAGTGGGGTTTGATTCAATAGCAGGTTCAGAGTAGGATTAGGCTTCATCCCAAACCCGCCGAATCAAGCTTGTCCCCATATGTCATTTCCCATCATCTATGTTGTGTCATCAGAAATCTTGAGTTCCAAAATGCTAATATAAATAAATATATTTGGGTGGCTTTTTGTCCTCTCTTCTTCCCAAGTCTTAATGTTGCAAATGCTACTGTAATAAATATTACTGAGAGGGATTTGCTGATGGATGTAAATATTCATCAGTCTTTAATGATTTGCATTTGAATCCAGAAAATTGGCTTATGGCTCCTCACTGGTTTTCTCTCACTTGGATTTTCACATAGCATTAAGTGCAGGAGGATTATATACCTGGGGTTTTCTCTGGTCCAAACCAGACTTTGCTATCTTCGTTTGGAAATAGTTCTTCATTAGCTGGTAACTCAACCTTGTGCATCACTTAATCTTTTTCAATCCTTCATGAATTTTGTTTCTAACAAAGAGCTTTAGGATCACTCTTGTCACTCTCATATGAACCAGTCACCACTCCTGGAGTATTTAATTTTCACCTTGGCAAGGCTGACGCTGTCAAAATGGGAAGCCAGAAAGATGAAGTGTTGGCCCTGGGGTCGAGAGCTTCAATGCTCTATCCTTTTGTGTTTAACCTATCAGAACCTTGTGAACCACACCAAACCATTTCATGCTTTGTGGACCTTACGGGTTGGGAATCCTGTGCAGAAGCACAGTGATAGTGTATGCTCACAGCCACAGCCCCCCTCTCTAGGAATGAGCTCCAGCTCTTGGCCAGTGCTGAAGCCAGGGCCATTTTGTCTTCTCATGCGTTTTCCAGCTGGAGTACAGTAGTGTGGCTACGCTGGCACGCTCTCACAATGCTATTTAGCTACATAGACTCATGGATGGGTAGTCTTCTAAGATTCTCATGTGTAATGGGATGGATACGCTCACTCCTCTGAAGGGTTGTTAGTTTCAGAGCACAGCCCCAGTGCTTGCCCCCCTGGTGGCAGTTGGCATTATGTGTTACCTTTTCTGTTTGCTGTGCATCTTACCCACAATCTTTTAGGGTCATTTTAGATTACAGATAAATTCAATGTAGATTGACAATGCAATTTTGGCAATTTGACCATACCCTTTTAAAAGCCATTTTAAAAGTGTAAAATACCTTGGTTTTGTAAGATTAGTAGAACCTGGATTAGTCAGCAAATGAAACTGAGGAAAACCCAAGTGGTTTTCTCTTGGGAAAACCCAAGTTGATAGTAGAAGATTAATATTGATAATCTGAAGTCTGAATGAATTAGACACAAAATGGCCAAAATTTAAATTGATATAAGTGGAGCTTTTTAGGATGGGGCTTTAACAAATAAGGGCTCTTCTTTAGGATGGGCTGTTAACTCTGCGTATTCTGCCTGTTGAATATGATATAAACATTATATGCCTAGTCCTAAACAAAATAGGTGTCAAACATTCTGCTGTCAGCTATTTTAAGACCCACTGTGCTAAGCTCATTGTCCTAGGTCTTTGTATCTGCCTGACTTTTATATGTCTCTCTTAATTCCTGATGGTGTGATGAGTTTCTGATAATTTGTGGTTCTAAGGTACTTGTGTACGTCCACGGAATGGTTTACGTAGAAAAGCTTAGATAACAAGAAGATGTGTGGAGAAACCTTAAAAGTGTCAATATTTTCCAGGTAATTGTGAAAACAAGAACAGAATATCAGCCTGACCAGAAGAACAAAGGAAAACTCAGAGTGCCCAAAATTGCTGAATTCACAGTCAGTTTCACTGATGGTGTAACAGAAAGGCTAAAGGTAAGAAATGGTTATTCTGCTGCCTTCTGATGCAAATGCCACTCATTGTACAATAACTGAATCAAAGTGACAGTAAAGACATAACAAATTTAACACTCCACTCATCACTAAGGTCAAATAGAGGTTTATCTGCATGAGTAAAAAGCTTTTTTTTTTTAGGACAGGCATGAAAATACCTTCATAACAGAATCTAAAGTAGGAAATGGTTTCTTTTTCCCAGGAAAAATTATGAAAACACTTTCTAGCCCAGATTGAAAGTAAAACAAGGTTGAATCTTTTTGCTTCTCAAACATTTGTGTTTAAAAAGAATAAAAAATCACAGAGAAGGTTGACTGAAAGCTTGTTTCACCTTTAAAAAATTCTTTTGTCTTCTAGTCAAACAACCCTTTTCATATTTAAGATATTTTATTGGTATAGAACTATATTATGATAGATTAAAAGCTATTTGAAACTGGATTAAAAAAACCAGATATTAGACAAGCACCCAGACATATCCTGTCCTGTAAGCAGGTTTGGTTCACAGGAATTGGAATTTTCTGATAAAAAATGTTCCCTTGGGAAATTTTCATCAGACTCTACTCAAACACAAAAAGAAACTCAGGAATTGTTGAGTGCCTCTAGTTCCTGTTGACTGCAGCATCTTAGAATGGCTCAGTTCCTCCTAAAATTAGACTCCAAGCATGTAGCTGCTAGTATTTTCTCCCTTTTCATTGAGAAAATGGGCTGCTTTTCCTAAAACACAGAGCATGGGTGTGATAAAAATGTGAGATCTGATTTCACATTTCCAAAGTCAGAAGAAATAGCAATGATTTGAGTAGGGAGGGAGTGGGCAGTGCCCAGATTCTGTTCCTTGAAAAGCTAGAATTGGGTTTATAAATCTTTGTGAAAGGGTATCATCCTCAACTGTTAAGGAATTGACTCAAGGAACTAATAATCTTTCATTTGGCCCAGTTGTTCTTAGTTTTGCCAGGAATAAAAAAGTTTATCATCATCATCATTTTCTAGTAATTTAGAAGAAAAATACCACTTTTAAAATTGGAATTTGATCCAGGAAAAGCTGTTGCCATTTATCCTTGATAAACTTAAAGATAAGGCCTGTTCAACTTATTGGAAGGAGAAGTGCTTAGCTACTCTCTTCTGCAGCACTACAGAATGGCACTGTTTCTGTTCTTTCCAGAAAATACCTAACGTATATTTCACAAGGACAATTCTGTTTCTTTCATCCAGGATATTTAAAGCCATCATTTATTCTTGAGAGGTCTGTGAATAAATGTTTATAGCTTCTTGGTGGGTTTTTTTTCAGTGGACATCACATATTTTGATCTAAATTACTTACCAAGGGCTTACATGCTGTTGATTTTGATGGAATTCTTCTCTGATGCCATTGCGTACGTAGTACCTATTTACCACCAATAGTGACTCTCTGTTGGTACCACTAGTAAACAGTGAATTAGCCACAGTTAAATCCCCAGTCTTGGAAACCACAGCAGACGTTTTCCAGCGTGAGCAATGTACAAATCAGAAACAGACACAGTGTGCCTGAGAAACAACAGTAAATGTGGAGTCTTCTGGAAGTGATGTGTTGGCTTGTGACATGCAATAAATGGCATTGTTGATATTGTAAGTAATGGTGCTTCACTGGGTATTTAGAACTCAATTCTGCAGCCCTGAACAGTGTTAACATTAGTGTAAGACCTAGTTTTAATCCCATCAAAAGAACTGGCCTTGTTATTTAAAAAAAAGCAGTCAAGAACATCTCACCCTTACACACTGGGTATGCTGGAGACCCATAAGCTACAATTATAGCTCATCCACTGCCATGGATAAATCTCATTTCTTCTACCCCTTCTATCTTTTTTTTCCCATTCTTCAAATGCCCAACCTGCTGCTGCATTCAAACCTTTCCTTTCGAAGTATTTTTTTCCTCTCCCCTTCCTATTTTCAGCACAGTTCTGCCATTGCTTCCACCCATGTGTGCCCAAGGACCGCACAGCAGCAAGTGCAGGGGGGCTGGAGCTCCAGCTGTGTGCACAGTGCTGACAGAGGTTTGAGCTGCCTTCCCCTTTGCTGCGTGGTGGGAATGGCTGTGGGATGCCTCTTCCTGTGCAGCCTGGCAGTATGACAGTTTCATTTTTAAGCTATTTCCTTTCCCTAAAGTCCGTATGATTTCCATTCTCTGCTCTTCAATGTCAACTTATTAATCACTCAGCCTCTCATCTAATACTGGGTAAGACTATAAACCTCTCCCTGCCTGCTTTTCATAAGGCTTCCATGTATCATATTAAGTTTGTAGTATTATTTCCTGACAAAAATGAGCTGAGATAATAGGTAATATTTCATTACCTTTTGTAATATTTTTTTTATTGCACCACGTTTTTGTACCAGTGCATATTTTTAGTGATGTTATTAAAAACACTGCCCTCTGGTTATAAGCAGGCCTATTATATGGTACTGATGAAATCATTGTACATTTGTTTTTTGTAAGAGGAAAACATAGTAAATACTTAACTTTTATTACCTCAGTTTGGCTACATTTTTAAAAGCTTTAAAAATATATGTATAAGTGAGGTCATCAGATTTTATTTTGTTGGCTGGTTGCTTTGCCTTCCAGTATGTGGTGCACTGGAAATATCATCCAGACCTCCTTGCTAACACACTGATTAAAATTAAAGTATTTATCTATATTTCAGCCAGGCTCTTGGTAGTTCTACATTGGAAGAAGCAAGTAAATCATCTCATTGATTTCTGCAAGAGAAATGATGAAGGGAAAGGTCAATAGCCCATCCAAGCGTAGATGGTCCATTGGTTTAGTGCTTCCAAATATGAAAGCCATATGGGAAATGCATGTACAACTAGTGTGACTCAACAGTAATGCTTGGATTCAAGGGTTTTCACAGAGAACCATTTTGCTACTACATCTCTACTAATCTGTGTATGAGAAGCAATTCTCCTCTGCACTAATACGTCTCTGCAAGGTTTAAAATTTTTGTTTCAGTCTATGTTGTGCTTTTCTTTCAACTCTACTTCTGGTCACTTGATATGAGAATGCTCTCAGGGGAGAAGGAAACTCTTCCCAAGTTCTTGGGTTTTTTTCCTGAGTCATGTAGCTGCATTATACAGAAGAGCAGAATCCCTGGGGAAATTCTAGGACCATATGAACATGGCAGTCAAATCCACAGATGCCCTTTGCTCTGCCTTTTGGGTATCTTTTATTGAAGAGGCTAATGAATTATTAGACAACTTTCTCGCATGAGCAAGCCAGAGCTAGAATTTAAGCTTATGCATGCATATTTTTCATCCATCCAGAATAGCACAGTTCTGAGCTCTTTAATTATCGTATAGAAGAGACTGTCCCTAGGCAACGGGTCTTATTTCACACTACCTCTTCCAGGAATTTTAGGTAGCTTCTGCAACTTGTCACATCTCCTAATAGATGAGATTATGATTTCTTATAGCTCAGCACACAGTGTCCTGGAAATCTGACCAATTAGGCTTATTCTTCAGCTGGATGAGTCACCCCATACATACTTTATAACAAATGTTTAAATGGTTGTGTGTAGATGGGTTACAAGAAAGTGGTGTTAAAATAGTACTATGGTAGAGCCATCCATACATAAAAGAAATTTCTTCTATCATTTTACTCCTCCACAGAGAAGCAATGACAACATTTTTTCAAAGCTGACTGGCAGTGATTTATAGACCTTGCCTCCTCCAGACTGTTTATGCCTTTGGAGTGTGTCCCTCTAAGAAGTTTTTTAACTGCGGAGGTCTTATTTTGCAGTAATGATGTATATCAAGGTTTCTCAGTCAGGAGGGGAATGGTGTCTACTGCTTGCTTTCCATTTTGCATGCTTTGAAGGTAGCTCATGTTACCACGCTTTGCCATCCAGTGGTGACAGTAAGGTGCATTGAAAAGGTATGCAAATGTAATGACTCTATTTGTCATGTTCCTTTGTGGGACAACAGATCTAACCCTTTGCATTAGAGGTAGGCCTTACTGCTTCTTTTTCCTATGTTATGCTATGTTACAGCTTTTAAGAACAATCTCTCTTATGCAAGCATCATAATTCCCTTGAGTTTCTGCCCTTATTTCTTTCTATCAGTACTGAATTGAGATCAAATGCTCTTTGCTTTTCAAGTAGACTATCCACTGAATGAAGGAAGTCCTGTTACTTCTGGAGGACAGGATTTCCAGTGACTCCTTTTGTCTTCCAACCGGTCCAGATAACATAGAAATCAAGATAACAAGAAGGTGGAGTGGGTTTCTACCCGTTTTCTTGACTGTCACTTAGCTGAGCTTGTGTTCAAGACACCAGCACCCTGCTTAAGAATAAACAAGCTGGAGAATGGTGCTGATGGATTTTGTGCTTCATGCAGTCAGACCCACTGAGTTCAGGTAGACTTGTGCTAGCCCTGAGTTTGCCCAGAGTTTTCTAGCTCCAAATAACACCAGAAAAGGTACTGGAGTGGCCTTTCAGCGCAGTCTTACAACACGGAGCATTGGGTTGATACACATTACTGAGTTGTGCAAATTTCTCTCTTTATTACAACACTTAAGTTCATGTGCAACCAGTTTGAGCTCTGTTATCACTAAATGCCGTAGAGCTAGTTGTTACTGCCTTTTCAGGGAGACGATGATTTAGTGGCTATGAGCTAGGTGATAGTTACCCACCATAGTTACCTGACTTCTCAAGTCTTCCAGAGTTCTTTCCTTTTCATGGATCATTTTATTAAGAAAGTTGAAGTTCAGTCTTTCAGAGCTGGAATAATTAAACTATGTTCTTGTCTTTAACAGAACAAGTTGGGAGTGGGTGTATGGGGGAGAAACTGAGATATTTCAGATGTTGCTTTATGAGCAATTTTTCTACCTGGAAAAATCATCTGCAAGTATTGAGCATTACTTCACTGAGGAAGACTGGGAACTTCACTCTTTTGCTACAAGTTGGCAAGATCCATTTTCAGAG